CGGGGCTCTGAGCACCCTGCTCTAGCTGGGGATGTCCCTGTCCCTGCAGGGGGGTCGGACGAGGTGACAAACTCCCTTCAGCCCACCCCTGCCTCAGGCTCCTTCCCAGGGGAGACCACTGGAGGTGTTTGTGTGGCCCAGAGCCCTGCTGTGCCCTGGGGCAGGACGTACCCGTGTTGTCCATGGCGTTGGAGAGCAGGTAGGAGCCCTCTGAGCTGAGGCTGAGCCCCGTCACCGAGTCCGCGTGTCCCCTCATGCTGTAGGTCAGCTTGTTCTGGCGAAGGTCCCACACCTTCCACACACAGCAGCAGAGGGTTAACAGCACAGCCAAGGAGCTGCCCCTCCTCCCAGCAAGTTTGTCACAGCAGTTTGGAGCCACCAAAAAAAGGTTTCAGGGGGTGCTCAGCCAGCTCCTGACAGCGGGTTTCAGTTGCGGCGGGTGGGGTCTGAATGGCTAAAAGATGAGGCTGGAGTTTGTCTTGTAGGGAGAACAGTTTGCCTCTTAGAATCATAGAGTGGTGGGGGCTGGAAGGGAGTAGAGACCATCTAGCCCAGCCAGGATCACCAGGACCACGTGCAGGTGGGTTTGGGATCTCTGCAGAGCAGGAGACTCCACAGCCTCTCTGGGCAGCAGCGCTCTGTCACCCTCACCCCAAAGAAGACTTCTACCCAAATGTATTCAACCCCCAAAGAGTTAAATGGCAGCAGCCCCACGCCTGCAGGAGTGTCTCTACCTGGCTGCAGCTCCCCTGGCTGATGGCACAGAGCAGCAGCTGTCCTGTCCCCAGGATTTCAGGCTGTTTCCCAGAGCTCCTGCCCTTCTCGGGGCAGTGCTGCCCTCAGAGGTGGCTCTCTGAGAGATATGTGCTCCCCATGCCAGGGGAAGGCTGGCTGGGCAGTCAGACAGCCTGAAGTCTGCAGCCATCAGGAGAATCTCAGTCATCAGCTGGAGGAAGCAATGAGCTCACTCTTATTTAAGAGCTTTGCCACTGACTTTGTCACCTGCTAGTGTGGAAACTGGAGCAGAGGGCAGCCAGCGTGGATGTGTCACCACATTTTCTTCAGTTGACCTCATCCCTGGCTCTAGAGGCTCTGGGAAAGGCTCAGGCTGCCAGAAGAACCAGCTGCCAGAAGAACCAGCTGCCAGGATCAGCTCCCAAGGTTGACAGCAGCCCTGTGAG